TTGAAGTTGAATGAATCTCAGTTATATTTATTTATGACAAATAATGTGGCTTGGAAAAATGGTGATGCAGAGTTGCAGACTCAATATATGGACAATGGAACCTCATACGTTATAGATTTTTCTAGTATATTGTTATTTGTACTTGTCATCCTTTTTTTTTTAATATATTTCTCTTGAAGTTGAATGAATCAAAAGTCTAAAGTTCAAATAGTTTACAAGCTATTTTACCATTCTAATTTACAGATAGGAGTAGCCCCATTTGGACCCATAGCTTTTGTGATTTGGCTGTTCTTTTTTTATACTTTCTTGGTCAAATGATCAGATAACTATTCTATTACTATGACCTAGGCAATTAGGTCGGCAGAGGTGCATTAAGGTTGTGCATGAAGCAAACTGCAATCTGATCGTGTATTTTTTTTTTTTTTTTAACTTGTACCAAAAAAGACCATGCATGAGAAGATACTAGTTTGTAGTTTGTCTTTTTGGCTGAACAGTTTCATAACTAACAGGGGTAAAATGTGGGACCTGGGAGTTCCACTTTCTCTTCCTTGGATAGTAAGGAAGAAATGATGGAAGCAAAACTTATAATCTATACATACATATCCCTTCAAGTATGCCATCAAGGGTTTAGAGCTCTTAAACTTATCAAATATGGATCTGATGGTTGGTGCAGATGAGATAGAATCATTAAGAGTTGAGTTATCAGAGATTGGAAGAAGCCTAAGATCATCATTCCGGCAACATACTTCCAGTTTCCGAAGCAGTTCGGCACTGAGTTCTGTGAAGGATGATGCTGATGTTGACTACGCTCAGCAGTGGGCTGCAATTGAGAGATTGCCTACATTTGAACGGCTAAGATCATCTTTGTTTGACCAAAATAAGGGAAAACAAGTGGTTGATGTTACAAAGCTTGGAGATCTAGAGCGGCGTTTATTTGTAGAGAAGCTCATCAAGCACATTGAACTTGACAATCTTAAGTTGTTATGGAAAATAAGAAAAAGAATAGACAAGTAAGCTTCTTTTCCCCTTCTCTTAGTGGGGTCTCTATTTCAATAGATGTGGATGTGTTTCTCTATCTGTCATAACTGCTGTATGGGTCAATGGGTGAGGGGTCATATCTTACTGAATTCTTTAGTATTACTGTTCCAAAGGTATCTGTTCATCCCAAGTTTGCATGAGCATGCCTAGCTACTCTATTCATGATTACTAATAAATTCAAAGTTTAATTAATATGAGTTGGATATTGCAGAGCTGATGTAAAGCTGCCCACTATAGAGGTAAGATATAAGAATTTGCGTGTGGAAGCTGAGTGTAGAGTTGTTAAGGGAAAGCCCCTCCCAACTCTGTGGACATCTCTTAGTCGCACCATTTCAGTAAGTAGCTTCATTTTCAAAAGTTATTCAAGAGATGATCGCTAGCTCTGTCTTTATTGTTCCAAAAATGAGATACAGTGGGAAAGTAATATAACTAATTGAATGATGCACCAAACTCTCTAATCCTTTACTTGTTCTTAAACACTTTGAACTGGAGTTCATTCACATTTGATATAGTACTGATGAATTAGTAAATAGTTGTGCTTACCATGTTCAATTTTCTTCTTCAATATTTAGTGCACATTTGTCCTATATTAATTAAAGCTTGTTGGACCTTTTTATCCAGGGTGTTGCAAAGCTTTCAGGGTTTAAGCCCCATGAGGCCAGGCTAGGAATCATTAATGATGTCAATGGCATCGTAAAGCCTGGAAGGTAGAACAGTAAAATTTATGGTAGTCAACATGGCTCAATTTAAATTACAGGCCCTGGTGAACTGGGGAGATTGTTTCTTATGTCTTTATGTGCTCTTAATTCTTGTCTGCAGAATTCATGAGGTCCCTTGTCCTGTGTCAATTCTTTCTATTTGCTTTTGCAATTTGCATATACCTTTTCTTTTGTAAGATTTTCAATGAAATAAAATTTTAGGAATGTCACCTAAAAATAACAGGTAAAATGAACTGAACTAGTCTTAATCATGTTGTAGGATGACTCTACTACTAGGTCCTCCTGGATGTGGAAAAACGTCTCTGTTAAAGGCTCTCTCTGGAAATCTGGACCCATCTCTCAAGGTGATACTTCTCCTCTCTGTAACCCTTTTATGATGGGAAGTTGAATCTGTAACTTGAAAGTGAAACCGGAAGGTTTGTAATAATTTATTTCATAAGAGTAGATATTTTCCGTTGTGGGTTTCAATGCCTTTCTTCAGAACTGATTTGTTGTGATCTTTTTACTCATATAGGCTTATGTTGGAATTAACATGTCATATTGAACTTCAAACGAATATTTAAAGAAAAAAAATGGTATAATAAAAATTTTCAGAACTAATTGAGGATCATGGACGGTCAATGTAATTGATAGATGTCATTTACATTTTAAAATTTAAGACATTTTCCTATGCACTTGAGATGCTTGCCCTACTTCATCTTTGCTAATCTCTTTATCTTGAATTTTTTTTTTATTTATAATTTTCATAGGTCAGCGGGGAAGTCTCTTATAATGGCTACAAACTAGGAGAGTTTGTCCCCCATAAAACTTCAGCTTATATAAGCCAATATGATCTTCACATTGCTGAGATGACAGTGAGGGAAACCCTTAATTTTTCAGCTCGTTGTCAGGGTGTTGGAAGCCGAGCTGGTAAAAGTTTTTGAATTTTTTTCTTTAATCAGAGTTTAATATTGGGACTGTATCAATGCATGAAAGTGATAAGAACTGCCTTTCTTTTTGCCTCTGAAGAGATAATGATGGAGGTCAACAGGAGGGAGAAGGAAGCACGAATTTTGCCAGATCCAGACATTGATACATATATGAAGGTAGCTTTAGTATAGTTTGTTATCTTTTTACCATGTTTTTGAGTCAAAAGGGATAGCCCCAATGGTAATATGTAAACTTAGCGTGAATCAATGTAAACATGGGGGTATTTCATGTTATATTCTAAGCTTTTTTTTGTTATACCGTTGCTAACTTTACTTACTTTTAACATTGATAACTGTGGCTATCCCTTTGACAGGCAATAGCTGTGAAAGGACTGAAAACAACCCTTCAGACAGACTACATTTTAAAAGTAAATCACTTTTAAATGGCTGCATTTAAACTTCTTAATGTAATTCATATTTGTAAAAAAATGTTGAAGAATATTTCAACCAACTTTTGGCTTTCCAGATTCTTGGTCTTGATATCTGTGCTGACACATTAGTTGGAAATTCCATGAGAAGAGGTATCTCTGGTGGCCAAAAAAAGCGTTTGACTACAGGTAGGTTGATAGAATTAACCAATTACATGATGCAGAACCAGTCATCATGCGCATTTGTTGAAATTTTGGTTTCAAAATTTAAACTCTATGGCAAAAGTATATTCCGAATTAAAAACTATTGAAATGAATTATGCAGGAGAGATGATTGTAGGTCCTATAAAAGCTTTGTTTATGGATGAATCATGAAATAACAAATGGTTTGGACAGTTCCACTGCGTTTCAGATTGTGACTTGTCTTCAGCAGCTAGCTCATATAACTGATGCTACTGCACTGGTTTCACTTCTTCAGCCAGCACCAGAAACCTTCAATCTTTTTGATGACATTATTTTGATGGCAGAGGGAAGAATTGTGTACCATGGTCCTCGTGATAATATTCTACAATTTTTTGAAAATTGTGGGTTTAGATGCCCTGTAAGGAAAGGGGTAGCTGATTTTATCCAAGAGGTAAGTGCTGTTACAATTACCTTGAGAATTGACAGGTTCTGTTTTCATTAGATTTGATTTCATTAACATTTGATTTTGATCTTGCAGGTTATATCTAAAAAGGATCAGGCACAGTACTGGCACCATACTGAACAGCCCTATGGCTATGTTTCAGTGGGTATGTTCTCAAGGAAATTCAAAGAATTTCCCCTTGGAAATATACTTGAGGAGGATCTTTCTTTGCCATATGATAAAGCCCAAAACCACAAGGATGCCCTCTCCTTTAGCATGTTTTCTCTTTCAAAGTGAGAATTATTCAGAGCTTGCATGTCAAGAGAGCTTCTCCTAATGAAGAGAAATTCTTTTGTTTATGTTTTTAAAGCAATTCAGTTTATAATTCTTAACTCTGCATTCTTTCATAATTCACACTATCTCTCTGTTTAACTGTTTTCTTTGGTTAAGAGTTGTTTCATTCCTATTAATGTTAGTACGTTAACTTCAACAAGTTTATCGAAGATCCTGGAAATTAATTTAAAGAATGTTAACGTCCTACTGTCTACAGCTAATTGTTGCTGCAGTAATCACAATGACTTTATTTTTGCGCACTCGGATGGCTATTGACGTTAGTCATGGAATGTACTATATGGGTGCCCTTTTCTATTCTCTTGTCATATTTCTTGTGGAGGGGGTTCCAGAGTTGTCTATGACTGTTTCCAGACTTGAAGTTTTCTATAAGCAGAAAGAGTTGCGTTTTTACCCTGCATGGGCCTATACCATTCCAACTGCCATCGTAAGGATTCCTCTCTGTTTTGTAGAAGTTCTTGTTTGGACATCTCTTACTTATTACGTCATCGGTTATAGCCCTGAGGCTTCAAGGTGAGTTCCAAACGAAATAACAAGTTTGTACTTTGTAGTCTAATTCCTCTAAAGAAGAGAGTTTTCTCCTGTTGGTTTGATTGTATGTGATTGAAATGAATTATCTCTTTTTGCATATGCTGAGGAGAGTAAAGATCCTATTCTTTTATGATATTTTGCATTCATAAGATAGCCTGTTAATTCATAAAATCTCTTCATTCATCCTTTCTACAAAAGATAATCCAATAGGAAACAGTAAAAGTCTGAGCTTATACAACTTTCTGTGTTTGCCAATTTATATACACATGCCTTCAATCTTCAAAATTGTGAAATTCTATGCATACCAGCCTTATATTTTTCTTTCTTTTTTAACGCTAAACTTTGGTCACTTAATGTTTCTTTAGGTTCTTCTGCCAGGTTATTCTACTCCTTGCCTTGCACTTTGCTTTGATATCCATGTTCCGTTTCCTGGCTTCAATCTTCCAGACTGCAGATATTTCTTTGACAGCTGGTAGTTTTGCCATGTTACTTTCCTTTCTTTTTGGTGGCTTTGTTATTGCAAAACGTAAGGTTTAACACATTATTTTCATTTAGATTTAGAAGCATCAACCTCAAAATAAGCTCAAGCAAGTTTTTTGGTTGCAGCCTCCATGCCAGTCTGGTTGAAATGGGGCTTTTGGGTTTCCCCTTTGTCCTATGCGGAGATAGGCCTTTCAGTTAATGAGTTTCTTGCTCCACGGCGGCAAAGAGTGAGTTTACCAAAATGACTGATTCCTGTTAATTTTCTTGCAAATTTTATGCCAGCAATGGCACTGCATCTCACATTGTTGAGATAAATTGGTAAGTGCAAAACTGTTACAGAAACATATGTTAACAATAAACATGAAATTTTTATTTCACCTTCCTTCTCTATCACGTTCTTTATATCATTTACTCTTGCTGCCATCACTGTTATCTCCAAAAATGTTATTGCCTCACCAAATTTTGCAAATCTCAATGTTCTGTACCAAGTTTCTATGCTATGTTGCCTAGTTTCCTGACAATTGGCTAGAATACTTTCATGAAGTCTTTTAGCATTCAGCTAATGAACTAGTGATTTGATTAATAAATCACCCTTGTGGAACTTTCAATACTGTGCTTCACTTCTAATTTCAATGTTGTTTGATCCTTGAATATTTAGTTATCAAGAAACTTTGTACTAACTTCTAATGCATTTACGTAATTTTGATTTTTCATCATGTTCTGACATTACATACATAGACTTTAAACTACGAATGCACATATTTTTCACCACAATATTCAGTTATCATCTGCTAATGGTATTGCTTCATGCTCATTAATTCATTAGGATTGGGAGTAATGAATTTCATGATTAAGTGCTGAATCTGACTTGTTCTTGCTTTTAGGACCTCTCAACAAACACTACAATAGGGAGAGCGATGTTGGAAAGCCGTGGTCTAAATTTTGATGGATATTTTTTCTGGATATCACTTGGTGCCTTGGCTGGATTTGCATTAATTTTCAATATTGGCTTTACCTTGGCCTTGAGTATTTTGAAGTGTAAGTGCATCTGTCTTGCTCTTGAGGAGTAGCAGTTTAACTTGTCATTTCACTGAATTAAATAAATATATGCAGCTCCAGGATCTTCTCGTGCCATTATTTCACAAGAAGAGCTTTCCCGTGTACAAGGAAGAGAAGATTCCTCCAATGATGCTGTTGAAGTTAGCAAATATCAGTTATGTTTTTTAATTTGTAACTGTTTTTTTTTTTAGTTTTCTGCAGTTAAGGTCTATGGTTTCTGGTAGTTTTCTTTTGTAAAACTGATATGTACGAGTTGCTTATATTTTTAGCAACTCTTATGTCTTGATATATTCATCTGAAATGAAAAGAGAGCTCCATATCAGAGAAGCTCTTGTTCTGAAAGTTTCTGGTTCTGCAGTTTCTGTTCTTTTACTATGCTGAAAAAACTTACA